TTGAAATAGCTCAACTGGAATTCCATCACCTCTACTAGCTTTGTTTGTAGTGACACTTCCTAAGGCCCACTTGACTTCACATTCCAGGATGTCTGGCTATAGGTTGGTGATCGCACCATTGTGATTATCTGGGTCGTGAAGATCTTTTTTATATAGTGCTTCTGTGTATTCTTGTCACCTCTTCTTCCCAGACCATGGTAAATCATAAGAAAGAATTTTTAGAAAGTGATGCCAGGGATAAGTGTACAGGGCAAGAAGATGTGATTCATACAGAATGCGTTATTTCTGGTAAAGCATGTTTTGAGGCCTAGAATAGTGAGAAAGTACGCTAGGCATGGAGATTGGCAAGGAACTCAGCGTGGCCACAGCAGAGAATGCCTGAAGGAATGGAGCATAAAGAGGCTCCATCATGAGGGCTTTTTAGGCCAGTTTAAGGACTTTGAATTGCATCCTGTTGGTAGAGCTTTGTATAAAGCTGTGGTCACCTTAGAATTTTAGAAAGATTATTCTGGCAACATTGTAGTGGAGCTATAGCATAGGAACTATGGAAAAAAGTAGAGACATAGTAAAAAAAAAAATAATGAACATTATACTGTTGTACTTTTGTCGTTGTGTTTGCAGGAGTACCATATATAGCTTCGTAGGTTGTATATTGAGAGTCCCAGACACTTCTGGGAGTGTCTTTCACAGAGATTATTATATGAATGACCTCTTTACCTCTATACGTTTCATTAAGATATACATTTTGTAAGAATGGTGTCTACCTTGCTTGCTACAGTATGACCTGTTGTTTAGTTGCTAAGTCATGTCCAACTCTTTTGTGTCCCCATGGACTAGCCCACCACCTTCTCTGTCCTCTGTCAATGAGATTTCCCAGGCAAGAATACTGGAGTAGGTTGACATTTCCTTCTCCCTGGGATCTTCCTGACCCAGGGATCGAACCTGTGTCTCCCACATTAGCCGGCAGATTCTTTATTGCTGGATCACTGTGGCTAGAACATGGCTTAATATCTGGTTACATAGTAGTTTCTCAAATTTTTTGGATAAGTGAAGTGTTCCTAACTGTGGGAAGTAAAACAGAACATTTTAGT